AGAAAATTAACTGTTGTGAGTTTATCTAAGCTATAAAGCCATCCCGGGATTCCTGTCCAAGAACTGTGGGAGGGCCATAGCTAAAGCCCAACCATTTAGATGCTAATAGTCCTGGCCTCAAACCCTGGCATCTCCAGGTAAGCGTGTTTGGTGGAACCTAGGAGCCCTGCTGACAGCCAGTGTACCTGTGGCCTTCCAGATGTTGCTGGAATCCTTCGCCCCAGGAAGGTACCAGGCCGAAGACTCACAGTCAACACACTGCAGGGGGGATGAGCCTTGGGGTCTCTTCCAACTCTGCAATGTTATGATTCTATGCAAGAGCCCCCACCTGCCACTTTGACCCATGACAACTCAGTACAGAGATGTTGAATTGCCACTCTTGAGCTCTGCTCCACCCATATGAATGTGCCCATGGTAAACAGTGTCGCTGTGATTATAGAACAGGAAAGGGGACTCTGTGGCCCCCCAGGTGTTACTGAATTAATTACTCTGACCATAATCCCTGACCATTGGTGCTGCTGGTCAAAGTGGATGAAGACAACATCTTAAGGGTCACTGGCTCCCTATCCTTGATATAGGAGGAAAGGTCCTTGATTGTAAAGGGGTTTGAAGGAAGTGAGGAAAGAAAGAAAAGATCATTACACCCAGATGCTATTTCCCCTATCCTGAAAACTCTTCCCTCCGATTCCACAGGTGTAAGGGCCAGTGATGGAAAGCTACTCTGCCCATGCTCAGGAAACCCTCTGCTCTTGTGTAAGAGCCTAATGTTGTTAGCCTGACAGGTTCACAAGCCAAGCCCTACTTAATGCCACAGTCTGTTTCCAGCTCAGTTTTCTACCTAAAGTTTCAGCATGGATATTTGGCGGTTAATTATGGATATTTGGCTCAGTGGCTAACGAGGTGGGCTTGGGGCTCAGACCAGCATCCCTTTACTCTTCAATTCCTGAAACATGGTTGTGTTTGCGCCATGGGGCAGAATAAAAGCTCTGCACATGTTTGAGGCCACTCTCTTCTTTGTTATGAATTTGCACTCTGTGCTTGCTCAGAGATCGAGCCGCCCTTGACGGTTGCACCATATGATTCCCAGCTTTGAAACCAGTTTCCAGAGTTGGTGACATTGCTCCCTCTCCTTCGAAGCAGCAGAACCTGAACGGAGTGCACAGACAGCACATTTTTTGACAATGCCAACTCTGCTTCCCAGATGTTACTCAGGCTCTTTCCAGTCATCTGCCGGTTAAATTAGCTGCAACTCAGCTCTGAGCTTCAATAAATTCTTCTACTGTGGACCAGCCTTAGAGAATACCCGCAGGGCCCTTCCAGAAGAGTCACGAAATCTTTGGCTGCGTGGATCGGGGCTTAGCAGTGTACCTTCCCACTCTTGTTGGGACCCCAGGTTGCGTGACACTCTGCCTCCCCCCACATGCACCCCTCTTTCTCTGCACAGAGAGCCAGCGAGAACAGAACTGTGGTTCTTCATTCACATTTCACATCTTTAGGCCTTGTGTGTTTTCCAGTTTGTTCCTTGCTTGTATCTGCTAAGTGTATGGGATGAGATCATACAGTCCCCATCCAATTCCACTTTGCATCCATTTGAGGTCCAGCCCTGATTGCAAAAGCCTGCGGATCTCCACCCCTTTAGAGCTGACAAAATAATGCACATTTTGCCCAGGTTTCCCACCCTTCCTTGTGTGCCTGTGTGTGTGCATGTGTGCACAGCATACATTTAAAAAACATTTAAAGCACACACATGCATGCACACACACACACACAAAACCAAGTTTGTGTGTGCTTTAAATGTATGCTGCATACACATAATTACCGCTCACATTGCTACAGTTCCCAGCACCCTTACCAAACTATCATTCCCAAGATTCTTGGTTGTGTATATGCTTTAAATGTCCTTTCAATGTACCGTATGGTGCATATGCAGCCTCCGTGTGTGTGTGTGTGTGTGTGTGTGTGTGTGTGGTTTAAGTGAGACACAGCTGCAATCCCTGTGATTGCAACTTCACTGTGTCAAACTGCCATGATTTATTGATTTGTTTATTTCATTTTTATCCCACCCTCCTTCCAAGGAACTCAAGGAGCTGAACATGCTTCTTCCTCGCTCTCCATTTCACCCCCACAACATCCCTGTGAGGTGGGGCAGGTTAAGAGATTGTGACTGACCCAAGAGGCATGACCCAAGAGGCATGACAAATCCCAGCCGGCCATAAACACTCGAGGTGCAAAGGGTCCCTGAGGAGTCCTGGAGAGCAACTTCCAGCCCTTGTAGACAATACTGAGCTAGAGATGGACTCTGCAGGAGGAGGAGCATGCTTGATCACAAAGGTACAGCTCCTCTCCTAATCCTGCCAGCGGCGACCCCAACATCCTGAAGCAAGAGGTTCCAAAGGTCAATTCTGCAGTGCAATCTGTGGCTAAGTACTTTCCAAAGGACCTTTCCACTGGAGAAACATCATGTCAATCATTTTAAAGCTGCAGTGTTTTGCTCTTTGACTGGGTTGTGTTGTTGGTGTTGGTGTTGTTTTGGTGGGGTGGGGAAGAACTCAGGCGTTTCAGATAAATGCGTTGCAAATGCGTTCAGAAGAAGCGTTTCAGATAAATGCGTTGCAAACTTTGTATGGGAAATCAGGTTAGCAAAAAAACGAACTCCACAGCGCCATCTCTTGTCACAGTGTTAGAATGCATAAACAAGGCATATAAAGCGCTCTTTCTTTGCCAATTGTAGCTGAGTCCAGTCTCCTGTTCTGCTGATAACCCTCCCTTCCCAGTCTGTCGCCCTGACCCCAGCAACACCACAGCCCCAGCTTTTGGCTCGGTAGAGTCTATGATGCTGGGAATGATGATGCATGAGGTACCCCACCCTTTTCACATGGGGTGGGGGCTGCCTTGCTGGTGCTTGAAAGGGCTGGAGCTTCTCTGGGCTGGTGGTCATGTTGGGAGGGATGCAATCTGGGTCTGGGGACATCCCTGGCAGAGAATCAATCCAAGACTCAAACGGCAAGAGGTGGAGAAATTCAGTGATGAGAACCAGGGTGGGATGGAGGCAGAAAGAGGCATCCATGCATTTGGGGGCTTAACCCTAACATGGAGTGAACCCTTTTGGCTCTACAAAAAAAATTCCTTCCAGTCGCACCTTAAAGACCAACTAAGTTAGTTCTTGGTATGAGCTTTCGTGTGCATGCACACTTCTTCAGATACACTGAAACAGAAGTTGCCAGATCCTTCTATATAGTGAGAAGGTGGGGAGGGGTATTACTCAGAAGGGTGGTGGGAATGGGTGATTGGCAGATAGCTGTGATGAGCCTGTTGACAACTCTTAACGACTGCAATAGGTCTTACAGGGAAAAGCAAGGGGTGAGAAGGTGAAAAATGGCTTTGTCATGTATAATGAGATAAGAATCCAATGTCTTTGTTCAGACCAGGTTTGGCTCTATTTACTTTGCATCTGGGTTAGGATTTTCCTGAAATAAGAGTCTGCCAGGCTGAAATAAGAGTCACAACAGGCAGAAATTCAAGAGGAGAAGCTGCCCTCCCACTCCAGTCAATTCAGCTCCACACTTTGGGGAAAGTAAAACCTGTTATATTTTTTTTCTGCTGCTTTGTGCCGCTATTAAATATGGTAGCATCTTGCCAGGTTGGGTGAGTGAGGTCCGATAGCCTTCCCTGAGTTCCCAGAGCTCAGCTCTGGAACCTGCATGCAATACCAGGAAGACATGGGCATTTTCTTTGCAAATTGCTTGGGGAAGACAGCATCCTTGAGCATGAACAGAGGGTGCTCTTCCTTTGCAGCTGGGTCATCATCACAGCCAGGCCAGACAGAGGGCTTCTGAAATTTCAGGCCCAACACCTCTTGCAAACTACTGGTAAGCACAGGAGGGTGGTGGGAGATTCCTTGAAAAGTAAAGATTCACTCCCCTCTGAAAAAATACCCTCCAGTCCAAGACACACACACACACGCCTCTCCTTTCCCCCTGCAAACACCCCCATTCTTCTGGGGCTGGTCTAGGGTTCCATATGCAGCAGCAGGGGCTGAGATAGCTGTCTGGATTGGCGGGGGGGGGGGCTTCCACCCCCAGAGAAGGAAAGAGAGAAGGAACTCAGTGTCCCACACCCAACCCCAACCCCTGTGGCGCACGATGATGTCTCTCCCACCCTCTCAGCCTGGGGCAGAGCCAACTGGGGAAATGGCTTTTGCAGGACAAACCCGTGAAAACAACATACGAAAATGAACTATATTATTAGAAAGTGCTTGCAAGCACGTGGGCGTCCGTCCAAACTATATATTTAAATGCGTTTCTTAGAAGAAGCTACCTTTTAAGATGCTGAAAGATTGGGGCATTGAACTAGTTCAGGGGTCTGCAACCCGCGGCTCCGGAGCCGCATGTGGCTCTTTTACACCTTTGCCGCGGCTCCGGGGCAGATACTAGCGAGGGGAGGAGGCGCATTGTGCGCCCCGACACTCCCCACTGTGGCGGGCGCTGTACTGGCTGTGACGTCGCATGGGGGTGGTGCGTGTGTTAGTCACGCACCGTCCCAATGTCACTTTCCCGCCCGCCCGCTACATTGTAAGGGTCATGTAGGCTGGTCACTGCATTGAAAGGGGGCATGTACACTGGTCACTGTTTTGAAGGGGCGTGAAGAACACACACGCAAGTAACTTGTTAATTTAACGTTTATTTCTACGAGGAGGAGTAATTCTGAGGGGTCAAACAAAGAAATAATAAAAAAGTGACAAAAAAGTTATTTTTATAATGACGAGTTTTGCGGCTCCCAGTTTTTTCCCCTTCGGAAACGGGTCCAAGTGGCTCTTTTTGTCTTAAAGGTTGCAGACCCCTGAACTAGTTGGTCCCTTTCAACTCTACGATTCTATGATTTGCACGAGGATGTTTTTTTTAAAAAAAGAGAGAAAATGCAAAAAAATAAAATAAAATGCTGCAGAAATGTGGGAGAACCGAATTGAAGATTGGTAGGGGGGGGGTGTAAAATGAAAGGCCGAAACTGGAAACCCTTTCCTGGGGAACGAACTCCCTTTTCGAGTCGGGCGTGCCCGCCAAGACCCGCTGAAGGCGGACGGGGCTTGCGGAGGAGAGTCCAACGCGCGCTGGAGGGCGCAGGAGGCGGCGCTGGGCTGGGCGCGACCCGGGAGTGGATGCGCCTGGGCGGGGCGCAGGAGGGCGGCTGCTCCGCGGGAAGGAAGGAAGGAAGGGCGGACGGCTGTGCTGCTCATGGCTGGCGAGGAGCGGGGCCCGGCGCGGCTGGCGCTGCCTTCTTTGCCCGGGGCGCCCCGGGAGCGGTTGCACTTGCTCCCCTGCGCGGTCCGGCACGACGGCGCCGCTGCGGTGCGGCGGTACTTCGCGCCGGCCATTCGACGGCCCGGAGAACCGGACGGTGAGCGAAGCAGGAGGAGAGTGGGATGCAGACCCCTTGGGCAGCCGGTTATGGGGCACTAAGGCCCCATTGGATCGAGAGGGACTTTTATCTGTCCGCGTGGACTTGGGGAAGGGGGTAGGATTTGCTCTGCAATGGGGGGAGAGAAATGGCGCAGAATCCGAACTCGGGGCCCCGTCGAACTCAGTACAGTCTTGTATCTCGAAGTAGGCCTGGTCTGCGGACACACCATATCTGCTTAAAGCACGTTTTCCCACCCCACCACCCAAAATAATAATAATTAAAAAAAAGAATTCTGGGCAGTGTAGTTTAGCCCTCACAAAGTTATAATTCCCAGCATCCCTTAACAAACTACAGTGCCCATAATTCTCCGAGGGGAAAAGAGTTTGCTTTAAAGAAACTTTGTGTAGTCTCCACCCTGGAGTGGATTGCGCTGCGAGGGGTTGGTGCTGCTTGAAGTAAATGGGGCAGGGGAGACGATGCAAGGGGTGTTACCTTGGCAGGCTCAGACTTCCGAGTGCAGTAATGGACCACCAGGGAGGGCATGGAAGAGGGTGGACAACTGGGGGGAGAAGAGGACTACGCTCCTGCACCTTTGATTGAACAATAGCTGCCTAAATTCCCTCTTCTGGACAGCTATGAAAGGTGCAGGAGCCCTGAATCCCTTGTTCATCTAGAACAGGGGTCTACAACCCGTGGCTCCGGAGCCGCATGTGGCTCTTTTACACCTTTGCCGCAGCTCCGGGGCAGATACTAGCGAGGGGAGGAGGCGCATTGTGCGCCCCGACACTCCCCACTGTGGCGGGTGCTGTACTGGCTGTGACGTCGCATGGGGGCGGTGCGTGCGTTAGTCACCTTCCCGCCCGCTGTCAGATCGGACATTAAGGTAAGAAACAATATATGCAGTGTTATATTTGTTTTAAATGTCACAATGGTTTTGCGGCTCCCAGTTTTTTCCCCCTTCGGAAACAGGTCCAAGTGGCTCTTTTTGTCTTAAAGGTTGCAGACCCCTGATCTAGAACAAACAAAGGTGCTTTCTACCAGAAAAGACCCCTTAGCCCATCTAGGTCAATGTTGTCTACACTGGCTGGCAGTGATTCTCCAGCACCTGAGGCAGGATGTTCCTACCCTAGAGATGCCAGAGATTGAACCTACAACCTTCTGCATGCAAAGCACGAGCTCCAACCACTGAGTCTGGCCTTTCTGCGCTGCTTAGGTATTTAATGTTGTTGTATTACACACCCCGGAAGAGTGTGTATGGAATCCAGTAATAACGTGTTTATTTATTTAGAAGGCTTGGTGTGTGTTTTTTACCAAAATAAAAATTATCACAAGAAAAACGACAGCATAGAAATGCCTCCTATAAGTAACAGAATTGCTCAGCTGGCGTTTCCTGTCTTCAAGGCTAGACCTTCCTTGGTCTTGTTCCCCGAGTTGAACGAGTATCTCAATTCAACCCCAAGCCTTTGCTGGCTGCCATAACTGCCAGTCTTCACAGTGGCGTAGCGTGGGGGGTGCAGGGGGGGCCGGCCGCACCGGGCGCAACATCTGGGGGTTAGGGTTAGGGGGCACAAATTACTTGCCGTGCCCCGGGTGCTGACAACCCACGCTACGCCACTGAGTCTTCAACATCCTCTGAGGTCTTCTGGGGCTGATCAGCTCCAAGTCCCTCAACCTATCATGGAAGCAAGCCTTCCCTTACTGGCGGCCGGTGCTGCGATTTGGAGTAGCCTTTGTGGCATAAGAGTTTTGTGACCCAAAACATTCCTCGATCACAGCTGCTAACACCGGGCCCTCTCCCCCACACCTATTATATTAACGATAAAATAATATGCTAAAAGAATAAACTGACCGTCACTCTAGAAGCCTGTCAGAAATTTGCTCATTTCCCTCTCTCTTTCCTTCCCTAGTTTCACAATATATTGTGATAAAACAATGTTAGAACAGAGTGGCTGGGGTATAAATAAATTATTATTATTATTATTAGGAGCAAGAACACATGAGTTTTGCATGCAGGTGGTTCTAGGAGGGATTTCCAGTTTAAAGGGACTGGAGAGCAGGTGGGGAGCCCCCTCTCTGCCTGGAAAGCCCAGACTGAGAATCTATGTTTGTTTTTGTCCTCGGTCACCCTGCATTGCCCAGCAGAGGCATCCGTATCCTTCCGTGGGCGGAGCCTAAAAGGGAAGGAAGTCCTCGTACCTGAGGGCTACGTGGGGCTGGTCCTGGAGGAAGATGATGCAGCTTTACAGGTGAGTTTTTGGGTGGGTGGAGCCTGGAGAGGGGAGGGTTGATCCCCGGATCCCCATTGACTGTCCCTTCTTTCCTACAGGAGCGGCAGGTGCGGGTGAAGTCTACCTTTGAGTCACTCACTGTCTGGAACCTGGAGCAGGCCCCCAACAGCAGTGATGAGATCCTCATGTCCTTACAATGGCCAAAGATTGCTGAAGGGGTGCGTATCTTATCTATAAAGGGGCAGGGAAGCTCAGGGTGGGCATGTCCACTTGGAAGCGTACCTTCAATTTTGGTATTATTCCTGTAAGTCACGGAAAGGAGCTGGGTATGGTTAGGGTGAAGATGTGAGAGCTGGGTATCTAACAGTCTTCATGTAGTATCTGGAGATGCTGTACGGCTCTTGTGCTTGTTTTGCTTTTCTTTCTTATGTTGTATTTTATTGTGCCCCATAGAATTCAGATTGTAATACCGTAAAATAAATTTTAAAATGCAATCAAAAATCAGTATATTTAATGCAGACACACTGGAGAGCACCTGAAAGTTTGCGGACTAGTTTGGGAACCCGTTCTAGATTTCTGGATTTCCTGTGGCAATTAAGAGCAGGGTTGGGGAGCACTTAGCCCTCCAGTGCTGTTGGACTCACTATCAGCCCCTGGCAGCCTGGCCAATGGTCAAGGATGATGGGAGTGGTAGTCCAACAGCACCTAAAGGGCCACAGGGTCCCTAGCCTTGATCTCCAGGGTCCCCTCCAGCTCTGATTCCATAGGGCAAATACTTTAAAAACATGCTTCTGGAGAAACAGATGCTCCAGTAAACATTGGCCTTATTGTGCATTTTGGGAGGCGAGGGTTTTGGTGCTGTTCCCTCCCCACCCATAATCTGTGGCAGGGGGCGGCAAAGGAAGGAAACACGCACAGCACCAAAATCAAATAGGGTGAAGCTGAATTAAGTGCAGGGCTGCATTGGTAGAGTTTGACACTGATGCCGCCTTACTCAGCCTAGCACCTTTCTTGCCTTGACTCCTCTCTGAGAGTGGCTTAATTCTGCAGTTCCTCCTCTCCGACTAGAAACACTGTCTCTTCTACGTTGTTAGGGACGGTGTCTGGTCAGACCGACTCTTACGTGCATCTTGTGGACAGGAATGTGGCTGTAGCAGGTGGGGAAACCATAGCCCTTCAGCTGCTGTGAGACTCTGACTCCCATCAACCTCAACCAGTGATCAGGGATGGAGATGGGAGTTGTAGCCCAATAACATCTGCTGGGAGGCTGCTGGTTCCCCATCCCTCCTCTAAAGGATCCTTTTTGTTCCCTTGTAGATCCATGCTCCTGTGGCTGATGAAGAATGAGATGGGAGCTTGTGACTGCTGGTGACATGGAAGTAAAACAAAACAAAACAGGCTGCACTTCGAACTCTGTATTGGATTTTTTGGGGGTGGGGGGCTAAGGAGTCCTTTTTCTGCAGGCCTCTCATTTTCAGATTGGATGCTGTTGCTAACTCAGCCCCACCAACGTGCAGATCTGTGCTTTCCTTGCATTCAGCCTTTTCTTTTACAGTATTACCATTCAAGTGGAACTTTGCTTTCAATCTTGGTCTATCTCTGCAATATTTTTTTTTAAAGCAAGTTTTTGTGGGCTCACTCCTCACCAAAGTGACTTTTGAGAATGTGCTCCATCGAGCCAAAGGATCCTGCTGCCACACCTGGTTCTGGTGGTTTCCCTCAACTACACTGATAAGACCATGTCAACACTGCTTTAATTCCCACGCTTTCTGTCTCCCAGGAAAATCTTGCCACTCCAGAGTTTTGGACACCCCTATCTTTTCACAGAGCTGTAGTTCCTACAGTTCCTCAGGAAGAGCGCCAGGGTAGTGGAAATGGATTTTAAACACACTTAGTTTGTATTGCAGACTCAGCTTTGAAAACCCCTTACAAGGTAAAGTGATTGTGGCTTCTTATATGGCATATACTTACACCACAGCTCACCAGCAACCCCAAATCCTGGGAACTATAGTTGCAATTCCCGTAATAAACGTAACGTTTCCAGAATTCTTTAAATGTATGATGTGTACGCAGCCATCGCTTCAAACTGCTTCAGGCTGTAGTGGCTCTGGCCTATAAGCCTCTTTCTTCTCAGGCTCCTATTTGCTTGTCTGAGGGTCTTGGTTTTGTGAAAAAGCAATACCATATCCAGAAAAAAGATGTACACACACATGCCACTTAAAAACCCATTTTGTTAATTTATTCTGAGCACAGAAGGTGGGGGGGGTTGCTTTCTTTTTAAGGCTGCTCCTCCGGTTCATGAAGACTCTGGTTTTGGGGAAAGGGAGCGAGAGAGTCTTACCGTATGCTAACCTATAACAGATTCTTTCCACACCTTCACCCCTGTGGATGCTGCTGCAGCCTCAGGCAGTAGGGGAGAGAGCAGCTTTCTAGAGCTGGCCTCCAGCTTCTCCACCCAAGGAAGCAACTGCACAATTCCAGCCTCGAAAGAAGGAGGCAGCAGCAGCAACAACAGTTTCTCTGCCTGCAGCTGAAACGCAGCAGAAAGCAGCTGCCCTTCAACTGCCCTTGTCAAGCTCCAAACTTTGATTTGTGATGGTGGTTTTATATTTATATATATAAATAAATATCCGGTCCAAAAAAAGGGGTGGGGGGTGGGGAACGGCTTGGTCTGTGCTTTTTCCACTTCTGTACACAACCGCTCAGCGAGGGATCCAAAAAGTCCTATATACAAACAAGCAGGCAAGTCTAGGGCACGTGAGGCCCAGGCAACAACGCCCCTAGAGGTCTGGCCGGCTGACGGTGCCTGCTTCGATAGCCGACTGGAAAATGTCTTCGAAAGAGCGCATGGCCACCTTGCCTGATCCCCATTGTCACAGAAAGTGAGGAGGAGGGTGGACGTCCTGCAAGCAGCTGGTCCTTACTCAGGTGCGCAGGCCTCACCACTTCCCTCTTTTGCTCCAGTCCTTTGGGGTGAAGTGCAGACACTTGGAGTCAATGCGCAGGATTCGCTTCAGCATGGCACGCTCATGTCCGTCCACGATGTCCTCGGAGAGTGTCAGGATATACTGGCCCTAGAAAGGAGATGTGTTTTGGTTCTGTTAATTTTAAACAAAGATTCTAGTCCTCATGACGGGGGCACGGCTGTACTTGAAACCCTGCTCACTCCCACCACTTCTGTGGCCACTATGGTTCAGCTCCTGAAATCCTGCATATTAAATACCTCTTCTGAGTTCCTGGCGCTTTTTGTGACAAGAGGTAAATCTGACGTGGCGGAGAACCACAGACAGCCAAGGGCTGCAGAATCTCCCTGCCCATCCCTTTCCATGGAATCTTCTCAGGAAAAAGGAGTCTCGTCTTTAAAAATGCCTGAAAGCAGGCCACATTTCTAGCTGGTTTATCTTGAGGGGAAGGAACACGTTTCCTCTGCTGGCCCCATTACTGCAGGTGGGGAAAACGGAAGCCAACAAGCTGTATCACTTTCTAGTGCTGCAACTCCCTACCCCACAAGAAATTTCTGCAGTTTCTAGTCTTCCCTGTAATGCTATTCCCCCTACCCCCACAAAAAACTCTCCTCTCATACCTGTTACCCTATAGCAGCCTTCTCCAAATTGGTAAGCTACATGTATTACTGGACTCCCAACTCTCATCTTCCCTGACCATTAGCCATGCTAGCAGGGGCTGATGGGAGTTGGAGTCCAAAATAGACGGAGGCCATGGGTTCAGCAAAGGCTGCCTTGCACAGCTCCTCTACTCCTGGCCATGCCACTGCAAAGACATCAGCCCATCACAGAAGCAGAGCAAGTTATGCAAAACTGCATAGACAAACTGCAAGAACCTTAGCACATCACCGTCTGTTGTTTTTATCCCTCCATCAGCCGAACACAAACAAAATTCACATGCAGACACATCCATCCCAAGATAGCGTGTCCTCCATGCAGAGCTGGTTCATGTTACTATAACACTTCCCTCCTTCAGGATGAATTCAGCCCAAAGGTGGGGAACCTGAGGCCCTCTAGCAATTGTTGGGACTTCCAAGTTCCATCAGCCCTGACCATTGGGCTAGACTTGCTGGGGCTGATAGTAGTTAGGAATCTAACAACACCTGGGTGCAGGAGACTTAATTCCCCATTTGTGATCCCCATCTGTGTCTTTGTCTGCTGGGAGCTCTAGGGAACCCCTAAATTGGGAGCCCCCCAAAAAATAATGTTGGAGTCTTGCTGCTGCAGAGCAAATTGCATGGCCATTCATTCAGGCATGCTACCTTGTAGTAGTTGATGAGGTTGAGGTATTGCAGTGTCGAGATGACATCCTCCTTCTTGATGCTTGTGATTTCGCTGATCTCACTGGAAACAAGGAGAAGAAATACTGAGTGCAATCCAAAATAAAGAAGGGCCAGTGAAAGAGGGAGGTCAGTCTTACAACCTTAGCGTGCACCTCAGGTAGTGAAGTGGGCCACCTTATTATTTCTAATCAGTTTTTTAATTGAAAGTTTTCAACATAGAATACAATAAAAGCCAAACTAATCTGAATAAATATAAAACAGACAAAAAAGATAAAAAAAAAGAGAAGAAATACAAAGCCCTCTATTAAGGCTGCGTCTTAACCCTATTTCAAACGAAAGTGAGCTCTCCCAGCTCCTACCTGGGAGCTTCTCCCGATGGACTTTTTTTCTTGTTTTTTGTCACATGAGGTTAGGAAGCCACAGGTTATGTGCTAGTGCAGGCATCCCAAACTCTGCCCTCCAGCTGTTTTGGGACTACAATTCCCATCATCCCTGACCACTGGTCCTGTTAGCTAGGGATGATGGGAGTTGTAGTCCCAAAACAGCTGGAGGGCAGAGTTTGGGGATGCCTGTGCTAGTGGCTACACACAAAAACACACACAGAGGGCTAATTTACGTGGAAATGACCTCACACACCATTGTCTCCCCATCACAGCTCCCTCCCCCCTCCAGCTATTTGGCAAGTTGAGGGGAACATGATTTTCTGGGCACCCACCGCATGGTGTCTTCTCCACCCCATGCAAAAAATTAAGCAGCGAGGGGTTGCCATCAGCACTGCTAAGGGCCGCACTGAAGGCCTTCCCAAGGGCCTCATGCAGCCCAGAGGCTGCCCACAGGGGTTTCAGTAGTGAACTTTCATTACTTGGACCTCACTTGATAGTGATCTGTGGACGCTCTCCGGTCTCCGATTTGAGGTTCATGAGGATCTCGAGGATGGTCTGGGACCAGTAGCTGCGGTAGGACAGGAGCCCCAGGTCCGAGAGAGGTTTTTCTGGCGTGCCTGTCTTCCCTTCCACCTTGGACAGCTCGTAGCCTTGAGGGGAAAGAGTGAGGCAGCTTGAGGGGGGCTGTGAGAAGATCCCGGTGCACAGGAAAGAACAATGTGGCGGATGGAAGAGATGACTAAATCAGGGAAAGTTCTACCTATTTGTCTCAAGCCGCGGAGTTTAAAATGAGGGCCAAGAGGGGCCCTCGACCCAAATTTTAAAGAAGTGAATTTTCATAAATAATGAAAATACAGCACTCGACTGGTGGAACTGGGAATCGGCAGGATTAGGAGTCTTTCCCACAATGTGAAATTGGGACTGCCTACTCCATGGAACAAGCACTTTCAGGGAGACCTGATAAAACAGGATATAACTTTAAGTATCTTAATATGCGGCTAGCAAACATCACAGCAACCTCAAACAGGCTGTTGTTTATAGCAGCGCTCCCCAACCAGGTGCCCTCCTCGGCCTGCCCCAGCTGGATTTTCTCCCCACAACCCATGGCCACCAACAGTCATGTGGAAAGGATCCTGTGGTGTTTTTGATATGTTAATATTTCTAATATATTTTTAAAATATGTAATTGTATTACTTTTAAGCCACCTTTGTAGGATTTCTATCCTGCAAGTAAATAAATCTATGTAATACATAGATAAAGCAAGCATAACTCTGTGGCTTTGTTTGTTTTAATAAGCAACTGAGTCGTCAAAGCAGGATCTTCATACCAAACTACCAAAAGTGCAAGTAAAAGACTACTTAGACAACACATCTAGGGTGGGGTGGGGGTGGGGGAAGGTGCTGAAGTTTGGGCTTTGAAGGTTACTCAAGATGAGGGAGCTACACAGCTGTGGGGCAGCCCCACAAGTGCTCTTCCCCATGTTTGCACATGACAATCTAAACATGATGCACAGATGAGGGCACCTCCGGAGCCTTGATGTGTCAGGGAAGAGACTGTCTCCTGAAAATGTCAGGAATGGTTGGGCCAAATCCAGAAAAACAACCTCTGGGGATATAGGAGGGTTTGATTCAACAACCTGCTAAGATTCAAATGGAGGATTGGAAAATGGAAAGAGACTCCACTTACTGAACTCAATCAGCAACTTTCCGTAGCCCCGTCTCTGGTAAGGGGGCAGGGTCAGGATACAGGCCACGTTGTAGTCCTCCGTAGATTCCTTCTCCTGCACGTAGTGGCAAAACAAGCAGCATGTTAATTTTCACTGGAGGAGTTGTTCCAGCCCTTCCAACACTGACTCTCCCCGGGATCCCTGACATTGGCATGACAGGAGATTTCCCCTCTCTCTGTCCCTTGTCAAGAGGAAGCTGTTTAGGTTTGACCACAACTAGCAAAGTGGCGATTGCATTAGGACAGTGCCCATTCTTTGGTTTCACAACTGTTGCAAAATTCATTAACAGTAGGCCCTCAGCTTTTATTCTATAAAATAAGTTTCCAGTCCTTATGGCTGCAAGGAAAGCCTTGAAAACAGAAAATGTAATGCCTAATGAAATATCAGAAGGCAGAGAGGGACTGAGCTGGACAGGGCTCCAGCGCTCTGTGAAGATCCTCACAGCCAACTTGCTCCACAGATAACATTAGGCTGTTGCTACCAGCTCTCCCCCTAACTTCTTTCTCCTTGCTAAATAATAATAATAATAATAATAATAATAATAATAATAATAATAATAATAATATCTTTATTCTCAGAGGCAGGACAAAACATAAAAGGATGAGGATGATAAATATCAATACAGGTTGGCCCCTGGACACATTTGCAAAGC